TAGGCCTCCTCCGGATACCATCAGCTAGCCAGTGTCGACTGTCGACCCCCCCGGGGGAGGGCCTTTTCTGTGGCTGTCCGGCCCTCTGGAACGATTTCCCCGTGGAGATTCCGACACTCACCACCCTTCAGGCTTTCCGCAAAGCCGTCAAGACCTGGCTGTTCCGGCAGGCCTGGGGCTGATGAGTTCCCAGCCCCACTTGAATTGTTGATTGTTGTGTAGTTTCTAATTTGTCTTTGTATCCTGTTTGTCTCGTTTGTTTTTGTATTGCCCCCTTCCCCATGTGTTTGTTCGCCGCCCTGAGTCCCCCCGGGAATAGGGTGGCATACAAGTATAATAAATACAAATACAAATCACAAGGAGGCAGCCAAGCTATCCGTCTCTGCTAACTCCATTAAATTGGGCAGCCGTTTGTCCACTGTTTATGAGGAATTCTAAAGGGGTATAAAAGTGTTTGCTGAGGCTCCAGCCTTGGGCTGTTGTATGCATGTGGACAAGTGATGCTACATGCCCCCGTCAGAGCTTGAATCGCGGAGGAAGACGAGTCGGAACTGGAGCAGATGGAGATCCAAAAGGGCGGCTTCATTGGCTTGGGGGGAAAATGGGGCGGAGCAGGGCCAGTCAGGCCAGGGCCTTTCAGGATTGGGGCAGCTTGTAGGCAGGGAGGAAGGGTTGGAAAGGATGACCAAGAGAGGCTAAGCAGTGAACATGAGAGACAGAGCTCAGGAGAGGAGCAAGGACAGCCCCCTCCTGATCCAAGAGCCCAGAGAGTGGAGAGAAGGCGAGAACAGCGCAGGCTGATCAGACTACTCAAGAGCAGAGCGCCCCACCCACCCCTCTTCACAAGGCACACATGGGGACTGATACCTAAGGAGATGCTGTGGGGAGAGGCATTTGTCGGGAGTAAACACTGAATTCCTGGGATGTTGAGTGCCGACATTTGAATTTCCCAAGAGTCCTTGCTTTCTTTCTGGATTTCGTGCTTTGCAGCCATTGTGCTCCCAGTGTTGGGCTGGACTATTTACAGCCAGAGGCTGCTTGAGGTGTGTATGTGTGTGTGTGTGTGTGTATGTGGAGTTGCCAGAAACGTGAGAGCGTTTGGGGAAATTTGGAACAATTGTGAACTGCCAGCTTCCTGTGTTATCTCGGGGTCGTGCCTGGGGTCATCACCCAATGTGTCTTCTTTCTCTTTCCCGCAGGGCGACGGCGGTGGCCCCCTGATGTGCAGGGAGTCCCATACCGAGCGCTACTGGCTGATCGGTCTCAACAGCTGGGGCAAGGGCTGCTCCGACGTCAAAACGCCAGGAGTCTTCACTGCCACCCAGTTCTTCTTCAGCTGGATCAAGGAGATGTTGGCCAACCCGCCCGTCTCTGGTCTTACTCCTCCATTCAAACCAACCACCCCCCGCACCCCCAGCCCTCCACCCCCCAGCCGCTTCACGGGAGTCTATTACCTCGACCCCATTTACAAAAAGGTCAACGGGATGCTAATTGGGTACTTCCCCGAAGCCAACACATACAGCCTTCCAACGCGCCAGTGGAGACCGCCAGTCAGACGCACCACCTGGCCCTGGTACACGGGCACCCCCAGGACATTTGCACCCTTCACCTTCTACCCGAAGTCAACCCGGTGGCCCATTTCCACTGCCGCCTTCTATCCGTGGGGCAAGAGGCCCAGTGTAATCTATAGGCGGAGAAAGTTCACAGCTGTTCCTCACACCACATCTTTTTACTGGTCGAGGCCTGGGCCTCCAAACTGGCATAGGCCCAAACGTTAGGGAAGCCAGGGACTTCCATCCCACCCTGGCCCAGATGAAGCACCCACGACCAGTGTCCTTCTGGTGTAACAATCCCTACCACCCAGCTCCTGAATTTCTGACCACCTGCCTCCTCTTTTTCATTTGACCCTTGTTTGATCATTTATCAGATTTCTGTAGCCACTTTTATAAATGCGCCATTGGAAACAGAGTTGGCACCCAGCTCCCGGCCCAAGCTCCACACGCCGGCTAGATTTTGGAAGGCTCAGGAACACGGCTGCCAACTTCCTTCATGAGCCCAAGACGATCCCCAGGCAACCTTAGGGTGCAAATGGCCGATTTCAGGGCCCAGGAGCTGATGTTCTGGGGAACATCCACCCAGGCTGGAGTCCCATTTCTGGAAGGAGATGCGCTTCACCAGAAATCCCATGGCTTCACACCGTCACCTTGGTTGGCTGAGCTCCCATGAATTCTGGCAGATGTTCTCCTGTAAAAACACATCCCAAATAAAGTGTTTCCTTCCAGAAAATGCCTCTTCTTTATTTCATGGTAGGAACGCTAAGATGCTTCACTGGGCAGGACCAATACTTTCATGGTGCAGCTGGCATTGGAGTTCTCCACCCCGGCCAGAGATTGCAGAGATCTACCGAGAAAGGAAGCATATTTCCATAAAGTTATTTTTTGGGCTGAAGAGCCTATTTTTAAAAAAACTGGTGTTAAAGGAAGGGCCAGCTATGAATAGTTTGAGTTTGAGTTTGAGTTTAAATTTATTTATAGGCCGCCCTTTTCCCTAGGGGGACTCAGGGNGTTTTTGTATTGCCCCCTTCCCCATGTGTTTGTTCGCCGCCCTGAGTCCCTCCGGGAATAGGGCGGCATACAAGTATAATAAATACAAATACAAAATTAGATAATGTGTGAAATTTCAATTTTTTTGAAAACAATATATAATTCTTCCATGTTTACAGGTTGGTACAGGGGACAAAAGAGTCAAGAAGTTTGCTATCTCAAGAATGTGATGAGAACTAACTGACCACTCAAGCAACTGTTATTTCTGCATGGTGGACATTTCCAACAACAAAATGACAAGAGCACACCTCTTATCATGTATCAAGACATTTCTTCATTCATTGCCCCAGTACCATACTGCCCTGAGCTACCTACTCCCATCTTTCCGAGAGGGATCAGCTATCTTCAAGAGTGAGAAGCAAGTCAGACAGTGAGGAGGATATTGCAGATACAGATTACAATTTCACAGATGTGGCTGAGGAGAGAAAGCAATACCTCCCCAAACAGAAAGATCTCAACAATCTGATCAGAGAATTTGATCTCATCAAGTCCCATGCTGAGCTTCTGATATCTAGGCTCAAGGGGTAGAATATGTTGTATGAAAGTGCAAGTCACATCTCAGAGAATGTGTCACCAACGTTTTCCAACTTTTTCGATCAGCAAGATGGGTTGTGCTTCTGCAACAATGTGGCCAGTATATTCAAGGCTATAGGACTACCTGCAACTCAAGTGAATGGTGCTTATTCATAGTTCATCCAGGAACCTCACATCCATGCTGCTTGATAACAGAAACAAGTTCCTATCTAAATAAAAAAGAATCCTTTTCAATACTTGGCATAACTATCAAGATTCCTGCTTTTTTATCTTATCTCCCTCTTAGATAATATATGATTCTTCTATGATAATAAATCTAGGACAGGGATGTCAAATTCACTGTCCATGGGCCAGATGCATCATGTTCTGGCCACGCCCACCCCCAGTTTAGTAAAGGGGGAAAATTGTGATACGTCACATGACATAAGATGTCCCAAAACTAATTCTACTAAATGTCCCTTATAGATTTTACTTATGTTTGTTCAAACATAGGTCCTCTGTATTGTATGGCAAATCATTTTTGAAACACTGGGAAACTTTGGGATATTTTTCCTTAAGGAAATTAAACTCTGATATTTTAAGAATATATAGCTCCCAAAAATGGGCAACATTGATTTATTTTAGCTTATACTGGTCAATTTCAAAACTGACAATTTCATGCTGAGAACATAGTTGTTAGTAGAACAGTAAAATCACTTTCTACAATGTCACAGAAAAGTACTTTTATATATTTTAGTTTTTAAAATATTCAATGTATTAAATGAACACAAATAGCAAAAATAAATTCATCAATATACCCAACAACTAATTGCATAGTATATATTTCATTAAACAGAAAACTCTCATTTGTGGGCATTAATGGTTATGAAAATGCAGAGGAAATTGGGTTCTGATTAGCTTTTATATGTTTTCAGTACATTAAGTTTATTGCAATTTAAATGAAACATTCTACTCCCACAACTAATAAGCATGAGAGCTATTTAGCATTGGCTGCCTACATGTATGATAAATTAGTCACAAACCTGCAGACAGACCCTCTATAAACTACCTGTGAGTTGGTCTTATTTGTTTCTCCATCATATCAATCTAAATAAAGAGGATTAATCCTTTTATTCTTCAATAATTTCCTTTGTTAGGTAGAACATTATACCGTGTTTTCCCCAAAATACAACATGTCCTGATAATAAGGCCATGCCACCTTTTTCGGGTTGGCAAAAATGTAAGCCCTCACCCCAAAATAAGCCCCCTCCACCCCCACCCCCCAGCTAGGCAGAGCGCCACTCACTGACCTAGCAGTATCCTGAAGGCGCCAAGCTGCAGGAATGGGGGGGTAAAGGCTTGCGTTGTTTGGTGCCTTCCGGATACCACTAGGTCAGTGAGCGGTGCTGTGCCCAAATGGAGAGGGGGTTGCCGGCCAGTTGCTCTCTTGTGAGTGGGCTCCCAAAGAGCCGGGCACAGCCTCAGGGTCGAACGGCTGTGTTGCACTGTCACAGCAGCACTAAACAGCAGCCATGAGGTGACCACGCTCACAAGCAGCCGCCTGGCAATTCCCCTTTCCAGCCAGGCACAGCGCCATTCACTGACCAAGCCCTGTGAGCACCTGTTCGCCGCCCTCTGGGTCCCACAGCTTGGTGCCTTCAGAATGCCCCTAGTCAGTGAATGGGGCTCTGCATGGCTGGAGAGGGGGGTTGTGCGAGTGGCTTTTCTGCTCCCCACTTGGGCACTTCCCAGCCTCACGATGCCCTTGCCTAACTCTCCCTGCAGAGCCAGGGCATCTCTGCTGCCCATGTGCTGCTGCTGCCACATGGCTTTTTCTGTGGCTTTCAAAGCACAGAGGTAGGATGCTGAGTCTTCCGGAAGTTGCCATTCTGGGAATACACTCTGGGAGTATGCTCTGCCTCAGCCAGCTCACAACCATAGAGCGTACCCCCAGATCTGCTGCTGCAGAAAGACTCGGCTGAGGATCTCCGGAGTTTGGAAGCCGGAGAATAGGTTATGCTCAGAGCGCAGCAACAGCATACTGGCCCTGCAGGGAGAGCTGGGCCAGGGCATGGTGAGGTTGGGAGGCACACCAGCTGGGGATGGAACAGACACTTGTGCAACTTCCCTTTCCAGCTGGGCAGAGCACCATGCACTGACCTAAGGGTATCCCAAATGCGTCAAGCAGCAGGAGCTGGGGGCAGGGCAGAGCACCATGCGGCTTAGTGCCTTTGGGATATCACTGGGTCTGTGAGTAGCGCTCTGCCTGGCTGAAAAGGGGATTGCCGGGTGGCTGTTCATGAGCGTGGCTGTTTGCCGCTGAGGCTGTGCCTGGCTCTTTGGGTGCCCGCTCGCAAGAGAGCAGCCACCCAGCAACCCCAAAACAATAAGCCTCCCCGATAATAAGATCCAATCAATATTTTGGGGGGCAAAAGAAAATAAGACCCTGTCTTATTTTTGAAGAAACCCTGTAGTCTATCAACATTCCTGGTAACCACTAACAATTTTGTTACTATTAGATTTCTATGGACCAACAATTCTTACTCTGGGACAGGAAATTTGGTTCATTATTTAAAAACTGGATAGGGGTCCTATTCTAATGTAATTTATGTCCAGATGGAGAATCAGAAGCAGGTATTAAATATTTTACTATATAAATGTTGGTGCGAAATATGATGGTAAATGGTCCTGAACAATGGTAATTGGAGCTTGCTGCAGGACATCCTGAGGGTATGATTAAGGTGCCAGGTTTTTGTTGTTTGTTTGACCATTTTACTATGTTTTAAGTGATTGATTTTACCGCTAAGGCAAGCCACCCAACGTTGTATAAGATATTTTGCTATAATAAAATTATAAATCTTATAAACAAACATTGAACACTGAGATTTTTTAAAACAAAATTAGATTGTAACTGAAAATTCCAGTAGCCTTAATCAAGTAAAAAAAAACGTCCTTGAGCTAAGCTTCCTTGCTGATGACCTTATGAATTTTTCACATAATCGTCTTCATAAAAGGGATGGCCATTGTGTATTATTGCAGCTGCACAGTCAGGCTAGATCTTTAGAATTTGGCATTGTTATCCACCTATCAAGTCCTTCACAGGGCTTTGCATGGGCAAATGCTATTGCTTGATGGTATTAAAGGTATTGTTAAAGGATGTAAACTGTTCAGAGCAAATCTGCCTTTTGCGATTGACTGAGGATGATTTTGTCAATGCCAGTGTTATTGTAGCTGATGTTATTATTATAATATTCACAATAATAAGGAATCTCAGATAGCAGTTAAACAGAATAACAGAGTTGGAAGGGGCCTTGTAGGTCATCTATTCCAACCACCACCACCCTGCCCAAGCAGGACACCATACACCATTTCTGACAGATGGCAGTCCATTCTCTTGAAAGCTTCCAGTGATAAAGCTCCCACAACTTCTGAAGGCGCCATTGGTTCCCTTGTTCCATTGGTTGATTTTTCTAACTGTCAGAAAATTTCTCCTTATTTCTAGTTCGAATCCCTCCTTGATCAGTTTCCATTATTTTTTGTCTGGCCTTCAGGTGCTTTGGAAAATAGGTTGACCCCCCCCCCTCCTCTCTGTGATAACCTCTCAAATATTGGATTGCTGCTGTCATGTCGCCCCTGGTCCTTGTCTTCACTAGACTAGCCATGCCCAGTTCCTGTAACCATTCTTCACATGTTTTAGTCTCCAGTCCCCTAATCATCTTTGTTGCTTTTCTCTGCACTCTTTCTAAACACCTCAACATTTTTTTTATAGTGTGGTGACCAAATCTGGATGCATTATACTAGGTATGGTCTTACTAGGGCTTTATAGAGTGGTATTAGTACCTCACATGATCTTGATTGAATCCCTGTGTTAATGCAATTTAGGATTGCATTGTTTTTTTTTGGCTGTTTCCGCACACTGTTACCTCATATTTAATTGGTTGTCCACTAAGACTCCAAGATCCCTCTCACAGTTACTGCTATTAAGCCAATCTATGTGCATACTTTTGGTTTTTATTGCCTAAATGTAAGACTTTACTTTTCTCTACATTGAATTTTATTTTGTTGCCGTGTTTCCCTGAAAATAAGACAGGGTCTCATTTTCTTTTGACTTCTGAAATAGGCGCTTGGCCTTATTTTTGGGAAGATCTTATTATTATTATTATTATTTTAACAAAAAAATTAATTTTTAATTTAAAACAANATTTTTGAGGGGCTGCCCCAAAGAGGAAGAGGTCAACTGACAAAGATGGAAAGGTGGGCTCCTACCTTGGTCCATTAACCACCTCCAGAAGGACATGTTCCTGTTGGGGCCCCCAACCCGTTGCCAGAGTTGGGTCTTTGGCCTTTTCGGAACGCCAAAACGGTGGGTGTGGATTCTGGTTGGCTCAAAGGAAACAGCCTTCCAGGGAAGAAACTCAGTTGCCTTTTGGAAAATAAAATAAAGCCCCCTTGGGACACAGCTGAAAGGGCTGACCCTCCGTCTCTCCACAGGGACCTTCCGCACTGGCGTGCGGTGATTGGTGCATGGAAGCTTTCCTCTCTCGGCTCCGAGGTCCACGTGCGCTACATCAAGCGGATAGTCATCCACGAGGACTACCAGAGGAGCACGGAGACCAGTGACATCGCTCTGATGGAGCTGGACCAGCCGGTGAAATGCAGCGACTACATCCAGCCGGCGTGCCTGCCGGATATGACGGTCACCGTCTCTCTCCTCAACCACTGCTACATCAGCGGCTGGGGCATCCTGGGAAAAGCTGGTGAGGATCCCTCCTGGGTGCCCCCCTGGCCTTAGAAGAAGCCCAACCCCAGGAAAGGTCTTCCTTCGGTCTCCACCGCCGCATCCGTCGTTGGGGGCCCTTGGCAGCTCCTCCGTTGCTTCACACATGGCTGGGTGTTGAGGGTGTGGCTGGGTGGGATTGAAATGCCATTCCGTGATACTAACTGGTTGGGGAGAACTTTGTGGAATCTGGAGCTCTTTCAGAAGTTCAGAGTGAGTGTTGTCTGCGCTCACAACATGGCTGCCACACACTCACACCCACACACACCCACACACACACTCCCCCCTTCCCAGATGCTGTGTACTGTCCTAGTGTATCTTGGTGGAGCAAAAACGCATTCCTGCAAATAATTTCTTTGCAAAAGAGCCGAGGTGGCGCAGTGGTTAGGGTGCAGCACTGCAGGCTACTTCAGCTGACTGCAGTTCTGCAGTTCGGCTGTTCAAATCTCACCAGCTCAGGGTTGACTCAGCCTTCCGTCCTTCCGAGGTGGATAAAACGAGGACCCAGACTGTGGGGGCGATATGCTGACTCTGTAAACCACTTAGAGGGGGCTGAAAGCCCTATGAAGCGGTATATAAGTCTAACTGCTATTGCTGTTGCTAATACGGGGATACTGCAATGGTCGTAACTGTGAAAAATGATCCTGTCACATTTTTCAGTGCCATTGTAACTCTGAACGGTCACTGAACAAACTCTTGTAAGCCGAGGACTGCCTTTATTATGAGCTCCCTCTTTCATGTCCATCCAAAGGCCGCCTCTTTTATCTCTTTGGATGCCTGGGGAGATGGGGATTCTCCTAACTCACCACCCACCGTACTCGTCTTCCTCCTTTGGGTGTGTCCTTCTTGGGTTTGGAGCCTGAGACCGACCCTCACGCCTGCCTCCCTCCTCCTCCCTGTGCTTTTGTTCCAGGGAGACAGTGGTGGCCCCCTCATGTGCCAGGAAGATGGATCTCAGCCCTTCTGGATCATTGGACTCACCAGCTGGGGGCAGGGCTGTGGGAAAGCGCACAAGCCGGGTGTCTATACCGACACACAACACTTCTACCCATGGATAAAGCAGTTGGCGGGGCCAATGCCTCAGCCCCCTCCCACCCCCATGCCCATCCCCACCATCAAGGTCCCACTCCAGAGTGAATCAACTCCCCACCCAACCTCTCCCCCCAAGAGCTCCCCTCCAGCTCCCGAAGCCATCAACCCCCCAACTGAACCCTCCACTACGTTGCAAACCACTTCTCTGGGACGGCCTTGGGTGTTCTTCTGGCCTCCAAACACTGTACAGCCTCTGCTTTGGCCTAAAACGCAACCTTTGCTCCCGTCCACCTCCAAAGTCCCATCGAAGCCCACAACCCAACCCCAAACCAAATCTCCAAACACACTCCAAACCGAAGTCCTCTCTGAAACAACCAAAGCACCAACTTCACTTCATGACGGACCTTCATCTTCTTCTCCAGTTCATACAACATATCAGGTCTTGTCACCTTCATCTTCCCCTCAGGCCAAAGTCTTGCCTGTATCCACAGTTCAAGCCAAGGCCACTCCTCTACTTCACATTGAAATAATATCTGAGCCTGTATCCAAGTCTCCACCTCAATCTCCATCGAAGGCTAAAGTCACATCTCTACTTGCATCTATAGTTCAATCTGCACACCAAACATCACCTCAACCTTCATTTTCAACTTCACCCAAGACTGAAACCTCAAGCCATACAACATCTCAGACTCTGCCATCTTCATCTTCCCCTTACGCCAAAGTCCTACCTGAATCCTCAGCTCAACCTGAGACCACTCCGGTACTTCAAATTGAAATTGTATCTGAGCTGACATCCAAAACTTCAACTCAACTTCCAACAACATTGAAGACTGAAGTCACATCTCCACTTGCATCTAATATTCAATCCACGCTCCAAATGTCACCTCAACCTTCATCTCCAACTTCACCCAAGACTGAAACCTCAAGCCATACAACATCTCAGACTCTGTCATCTTCATCTTCCCCTCACGCCAAAGTCCTACCTGAATCCTCAGCTTACCCTGAGACCACTCCGGTACTTCAAAATGAAATTGTATCTGAGCTGACATCCAAAACTCCAACTCAACCTCCATCTACATTGAAGACTGAAGACACATCTCCACTTGCATCTATCACTCAATCTGCAAACCAAACATCACCTCAACCTTCATCTCCAACTTCACCCAAGACTGAGACCTCAAGTCAGGCAACATCTCAGACCCTGTCATTGTCATCTTCTCCTCATGACGAAGTCCTACATGAATCCACAGTTCAACCTGAAACTACTCCTCTGCTTGAAATTGAAATCGTATCTGAGCTGGCATCCAAAACTCCAACTCAACCTCCATCTACATTGAAGCCCGAAGGCACATCTTCATTCACACATGTCATTCAATCCACTCTCCACACCGAACCTCAACACACAACCGAACCTCTTCCCAAGCCTGAAATTCCAACAGAAGTTGGCTCCACATCTGAAACTGAATCCCAGCCTTCTCCTGAAACAAATCCAGAACTTGAAGCTCCACATGAGTCTATAACCACATCTCAACCTACATCCAAAGCTCCATCTCAACCATCTCCTCAAACAGAGTCTGAACCAGAACTTGAAGCTACAACTCAGCCTGTGACTACATCTCAAACTACATCAGAAGCCCCAACTCACTCCGAGACCCAATCTTCTCCTCAAACCACATCTCAACCAGATTCTGAAACCACAGCACAGGATGTAACTGTACTCCAAATTACATTGGATGCCCCAACTGACTCCGAGACCCAACCTTCTCCTCAAACCACGTCAGAACCGGAATCTGACACTGCAGCGGATCTTGTAGTCGTACTTCAATCTACATCAGAAGCCCCAACTCACTCTGAGACCCTTCACACAGAACCCAAACTGCAGCCTGAAATGCCCCTTCTAACCACAACACTCATACCTGCAACCTCACCACCCACGTCTCCATCCTCACCAGAAACCACACTTCAACATGAAACCTCCAGGCAACCTCACCACAAAGTTCATCCGAACCACCAAAACCCCGAAGCCCCATCCCCCCTTACCACTAAGCATAAAATCGTACCCATCATTGAAATCTCCCAAACTGACGACATCGTGCTAAGGTTCTTGAGAGTGATTCAGAGGTTCTTGCACATCATTAGGAAGTTGAAAGACGCTGTGTGGGTCTGGCCCGATTTGTCAAACCTGAAACTCGTCAAGGAGAGCGATGTGGCTTCTCCCGAGGAGGAGTCGGAAAGCCCACTGGAGGATGACCTGCCTGGTGAGTCCTGGTAAACTGGAAGGAAACCCAACGTGCCTTTAGCACGCAGGTGTGCCACCGAAGTTGAAAACTCTTGGCAATGCCAGCAACCTCCTCTGGGGAGCTCTGGCAGCACACTTACCAAAACCAGGAATGAAAGTTTTGTTCCAGGTTCTGCTAATCTCACACGTGCTGGGCCTCCGGGGCAATTTAACACAGCTTGGGGTGGTGAGTCAAGCTCCACCCATTCCTGGGACTTCCGAAGCAGGGGAGTGGTGACCACAGACAGGGCAAGACCTGTAGGCTGCACGGAAATGGATGAAGAGGCCATTGCATTTAATCTCTTGCTGGGACCTCAGCAGTCTGGAGAAGGCAAGGTTGCGTTGGGTTGCGTTAATACTTTGTTGTGCACACAGGCAGCCCTTGATACAGGGATCAGTTTCTACAAAGGCTAAGAATCGGAATCTACATACCTGTAAGTTTAAATCCTGTTCCCCCCTTCCCCCCGATTTTCTTTGTGACAGATGTTTGGCAATGTGTTTTATTGTTTACAAAATGTAAATATCAAAATGTGTTTACAAAATGTACCCGTTCTGGTCCGAGGCTTTTCATTTTCCCTGTTCCCACCTCCCCCACTTCTATAAACCCATCTTTCTGACACGGAGACCTTCTGTTTGCCAAGGCGGCTGTAAAAGTTCTTCAATTCTACACACTTGATCAGCGGCTGTTGGGTCCCTATTGCACTTTGTGTAAAACTCCGGACAATTTAGTCGACACAACAACAGTACAGCGTCATGAAGGTGTCCTCACCATGACTCTGTAGGGACTTAATAGTGACGTGTCTGATCGCTCTGCTGCAGTGGTGGGTTCCGGATAGTTCCAACTGGTACGGTTGGAACAGGCCCAGCATCGTCCACATGGACACGCACAGCACGCGCATGCACCTTAGCGCCTCCATGAGCCTCCACGGCGTTCCAGCTGATCCATGGACCATTGTGCAGGCGCTGTACATGCCATGCGTATGCGCAGAAGCTTTAAAAGACAGGTAAGGAGCTCAAGAGGGCGGGTGGGCCCTCCGGAGCTCCCTACCAGAACGGTATCCAGTGCTCCAGGCAAGCTCTGGTACGCCCATACCGGGGCATACCGCCTGCAACCCACCACTGCTCTGCTGGGATGAGATTTCTCATGCATCTTGTACAACTTCCCAGCTCAGTTCTCAGAAGCATGGATCGGTCAAGTGCAATGGTGGGTTCCTACCAGTTTGGACTGAACCAGTAGTGGTTTGGTGGCCTGGGCCGCTGGAACTGGCAGTGACCCAGGACTGCCACGCCCCTGAACTGGTTCTACAGGCGCTGCAATTTTATTTTTTTGCTTCTGTGCACATGCACAGAACAATTTTTATTGCACTGTGCATGCGCGC